GTACATCAGGGTTGAGATTTTCAGCAGATTTCATATTGAATGTTTGCGTTCATTCACAGCACAGAGACCAAACTGGCAGCCTGTCAGTGTCGGACATTTATAGTTGTCACATGAGCAAATGCGCCTACCTTCAAGTATCTGACATTCAACTGAAACCATGTTATTGGAATTTCTTTCATTCATGTATTAGTCACATTGTTTTATTGTGAAAAGCTTTGGTGCCACTGGGTTTAGCATGTTTGCCTCACAGCCGATTCACGCAGCTGAACAGATGGTATCTGGGAAACAGGAGCATTTACACAGGAACACTCAGCAGTTGTTGTTGTTTTTTTAAAGGATGTTACCTCCCACGCATCATTATCCGCATTTATTAAATGCAAACTTCCATCACACCATCCTGCTGCACACTCCTCCAACGGCTGAGGCAAGAAACATGAGAAGTAAAACCCTCAAGCACTTTCCTTGTTCCTCTACAAATGCCTCATCATATTGCACTGAGGTGCAACAAACTACAAACTTCACGGGACCTTTGAAGGTGCGGCAAAAGGATGTTCTGAACATCTGGTTTGGGATTACATTAATGGCAGTAACGTTCAAATTTATGAGTTAAACTTACAATTTTTAAAAAACAGCCATCAATGAAACACAAATAGCATTTCTTCAGTTGCCTCCAACAACTGGACTTTATTAGTGCTGATAAACAGTGCAGAATAGTCAAATTCATTAGTCTATTTAAATTACTATCAATTTTACATGTCTGTTAATGTACATTGCTGCTAAACCATTATTAAAATGCGTAACTCTTTTCCTCATAATTCAGACCATCCATTTTCATCGACTTACCCTTGATAATGTTAACGTAAAGACACTTTACGAGGAGCTTCAGATCGTGTAAAGTCCAGTGCTTCTTTATCTGCTGTTATTCTGCTGGAAAAAATGCTATTTCGTTGCTTAAAATGATGATTTCTGGTCTTTTCCAGAGGTTATCATTGCATTTCTCGGGCAAAAGGCGTGGCTTCATCAAAGAAGTCCAATCACAAACTAGGTAGGAGTTTCTCAGCTGTGCAGCAAAGGTACATCTGCCTTTGATTGACGTGTCATCCACCAATAAAAATCCAGAGTGCCACTTCATGATAGTCCAGTTTGTGAGGGCGGGCTGAGACGCTTTGTCAGCAGTGACGTCTCGCTATGTGCGGCGTGGCCCCAGGAGAGTAAATGGTTGCTCACACAAAAATACACATTCAGAGTCTGAACGACAAAGTTTTTATTTTTGCGTTTAAATGAAAAACAATGACACTGCAGAGTGTTACACATGAGCTGTTTGTTTTGTTGCATATGTAATTGGTCTTTTATTTTGGAAAATCGTTTGGGAAGGAAGAGGTTTTAGTGAAACCCAGCTGAAGGGCTCAGGTGGGTAAACCACATGCTGAATAGAGCTTTTTACGTGTCATTATGCAGTAGAAGTGTACAGCCACGCTTTCATTTTGCACGCAATAGCAATAGTTGCCCAACATTAGTCTAAATAAGTCTCATCATATATTGCAGGTAGAGCGGTCACTGTGTGTGTGTGTGTGTGTGTGTGTGTGTGTGTGTGTGTGTGTGTGTGTGTGTGTGTGTGTGTGTGAGCGCCCTCCACTTGCATCTCTCATAATATGTATTTGACCTTTTCCCAGAGGGATCCCTCTGAGAAGGATGCTGGGTTTGGAGACACACACAGTCTAAAGAAGCTTTATTTAAAACCACTGCAGCACAGGTGAACACATCCACCCTCCCTGTGAGCTCAGGTGGATGTGTGAGTGAAGTTCCTCTGAGAGCGTCACACTGAGCAGATCCAGCTGACCTCTGAGGACGTGTTACACAGCTTTGTGCTGATCTGAGGTCAGTCTGCAGACACAGCCAGGAGCTGAGCTCTGATTGGTCCTCTCTGACAGTGGGATGATGATGATGCTCAGTGTGAAGCTCACAGAGGGTCGCGTGAACATGCATGATGCTGATCCACTAACATGCAGACGCAGGTAAAAGTAAAAGAGCGGATGGGTCATGTGATCAATGAAGAAGAAACTGAGAGGACAACGCTCCATCGTTAGTTCATACATGAGAGTCAGCTTCAGCTGTTACACTGAGCTTCCTGTTTCACATCCATGGAGAAGGACGAGCTGACGGCAGCCTCCTCTTCATCATCTCCAGCTTCATCGCATCAGACTGGCTGACTGTTCAGTGGATGAGATTCTGCAACGTTCTTCTTTCTGTGGACAGACAGACACAGACTGAGCTCTGGACTCTGAGTCCAAACTGCACCTGCAGGTCCTCTGGTGTCCAGCAGAGGACCTGCAGGTGCAGTTTGGACACAAAGGTGTGTCCATGGTGTGCATGGACACACCATGGACACACCTTTGTGTCCATGGTGTGTCCATGGTGTGTCCATGGTGTGTCCATGGTGTGCATGGACACACCTTTGCTCAGCCTTCAGTACAGTTAATAAACTCAGCAACTCAGGACTCAGGAGCTTGTTCTCCAGTCCACACCAGTAACACCATTATAAATGTGCTGATGACACCACCATCACAGGACTGATGGACAACAGCGATGATTCAGCATCTGAAGCGATGGTGTGACGACAATAACCTGCATCAGCCGAGACCAAGGACATGATAATCCACTTCAGCAGAACAAAGGATCTGAGCACTCCACCCTCTACATTGATGGAGGAGGTAGAAAGGGTGGAGAGCTTCAAGTTCCTCGGAGTCCACATCTCGGCCGACCTCACCTGGTCCACAAACATCTCCCACCATGTAGGGAAAGCACAACAAAGGCTGCACTTCCTCAGGAAACGGCGTCAGGCCCAGTTACCCCAGAGCTCCACCATCAAGAGCCTTCTGACCTCCTGCTGCACACTGCTTCAACTGCTGCACCGTGGAGGACAAGAGGAAACTGCAGCGGGTGGTGAGGGCAGCAGAGCGGCCAATCGGCACCTCACTGACCCCCCCCAGAGACACCGCCCCCCCTTCCCTCTGATAAACGCTGCAGGGCCATCAGGACGAAGACAAACAGACTCAACAGAAGCTTTTACCCACAGGCTGCCCGCCCTGCAGCCTGATTGGAGGATAACTCTACATCAACACTCATGGACATCACACCTCATTTATACATCATATCTGTACTTACACTATAATGCCACCAACATATACACTGTGTTTGTTACAGAAGCACCCCCCCCTACTCACAGAGGCCGAATCATTCAGTCAAAAGTGTCATCAAACAGATGGATCACAAACGTGGACTCACTCTTTAGACACACAAAATGAAGGCAAGCGCTTGGCCGCCTTGTTGCGTCTCCCGACTGAAGCTCTAACGGTCGTCATCAGGGGCTCTGCAGAAGAGAAACACAGCAGTGAAGCTAACGAAGCCTCAGACTGAGGGTCATGTTGTCATGTGATGGTGGGTCAGAGGGTCAGAGGTGTCTCTCCCTGCTGAATGACAGTTACCCAGCATGCCTCTGGGCTCACACGTGTGCTCATGTGTGCAGAAGCATGATGATCCCTGCAGTCAGCACTATCACAGTAAAAGGTTTCAGTATGAAACTTCATGCAGGAGCTAACATCAGCAGCTGCTGCCAGCTCACACTCTCACTGACCTTTGACCAGGAGCGGCACTAGCTTGAGTTTCATGGTGTTCACAGCCTTGTCGTGGAGGATGCAGAGGTAAACTCCTCCATCTGCACAGACGGGGTTCCTCAGGGTCAGGCTGAGGTCAACTTCAGGCCGATTCAGCTGGTCGGTCTTCTCCTCCTTGGGTGGGAATGACTCCATCTCGGCGCGCTCTCTGTAATCTGTGTGCTGTTGGTCACGTTTGATCTGACCGTTCTCAAACACGCACACCTTCTTGTTTTCATGCGTCACAAAGAACCACTCCACTTTGACGACCTCACCCAGGCAGCATGTGTGTGTGTAGGGCAGCAGGACAGACGGCGCCCCCTCCGTCACCTCCAGTGGTGTCAGCTGACCCACTGTGGACAGAGCACAGGGACAGACTGAACCACAGCACGGGCAACAGGTTTAACCAGCTGCTTCTCCACCCGTGACCATCACATAAACAGCCCGTTACCATGGCAACATATCATAATAGTTATAAACTGACGAATGACTTCAGTTCGTAATCTGATAACAATAAATAACTTTAATTTAACAATAACGCAGCTTTGGTTTTACTCTGACTGTGCTTTTATTTTGAAACATCAGGGGTTGTGTCCATGGAAACAGTAGCTCATGCATACTAACGCTGCTGTTGGTTGGACCTGGCTACCGCATCACCTCCACCTCACCACCTAACAGCCAATCGGCTACTGGTTGATGATGTCATTCAGGCTGATTGGACGTACAGGAGCCGACAGGTGCGTGTGGAGGTCAAAGGTCACAGACTAGTTGCAGTCACACACAGCCTCACCTGTCATGAGCTTCTCTCTTTGTGTCACGCGATACAGGAGGAAAATAATGACAGCACCGAGGAGAACCACAGGAACCAGGACAGCGGGGAGGACTTTGTGCCAGACAGGACGTTCTGTAAGGAACACAAAGAAGCAGAACATCATCCTGTACGACCTCTGACCTCTGATCATGGTCTTCTATTTGACCTTCTAGCTGAGCGCTGCTGAACCACACAGACCTGTTTAACCAGTCAGTGACCAGCGTCTGTGCTGCTGATGGTTCTTCATCACTAAACAGAACATGAAGCAGCACAGACGTCCTCTGTCTGTGACTCCATCCTCTCTGGACCTGACCTTTGACCTCATCAGGGTCAGATCCACAGCTGGAGTGAGGGTCTGAAGCTCTGTGACTAATGAGGTCACAGAGACTGTTCATCAGCATCCACCTTGTGTTACAGGCGGATGCTGATGTCAGCGATGACATACTCGTTAAGGTTTCCACGGAAACACAAACCTGCGTAAGCCTCTTCTGTGTAACCGAACGTGTTCACATACGTGAAATATTTCATGTTGCTGAACTTTATCTTTCTGAATGCGTGTGATATGATTCAGTGTGACCTTTGACCTGAACCTGCAGCACTGACCTTTGACCTTCAGCTGGACGTCAGTCCTCTGCTGGTCCGCTCCATGGCTGCGGGTGACACAGGTGTAGTTCCCACTGTCGGTGAACGTGGGCTTCCTCAGAGTGAGGCTGAGGTCTCTGGTCTGCAGGCCGAACATTGATGTTCGGTGGGAGTAACGCTTGTTTTGGTTGATGAGGTCTCCAGTCTGCAGGGCGTCGGCGAGCATTGATGTTCGGTTGGAGTAACGCTTGTTTTGGTTGATAAGATCATCTTTTCCCTCCACGACGGCGTGAACGATCGGAGAAGACAGATCTTCGCGTTTCCACACAATCGCATGATCCTTAGAAACATTCATGTTACAGGGCAGCAGGACAGACTCCTCCCCCTCAAACACCTCCACCCCTGATGCATGCTGGGACGCTGAGGACACAAACACAAGTTTAATCAGTGTGGTTTCCATGGTAACCTGACAGCGTGAGCAGGTGAACAGTTACCTGCAGCTGAGCGTGGGGCTGAGAGGAGGAGATGTCAGGAGTTCGTGAACACGTCTGAGCCACAAACACGACATGTTTCAGAAAGACTTCCTGTGTGTGTGCGGGACAAACCGTGTGCACTGATGGCAAGCTGTTTGTGTCTCTGTGCAGACGTAAACTGTGCACCCACATCTGTTACACCTGCAGATGTTCTGTCTGCTGGAACATCTGGAGCACAGCTGATGTGCTGCAGGCTGTGAAGCCCCGACACCTGCTGGCAGCTGCAGCTCCACCCTCCTCCTGTCACAGTAAACTGCACAGAGGGGAGGAGCTGCTGAGGTCAAACAGATGTGCAGCGCAGACACACACACACACACCAGCAGCTCCAGATGTTTGATGAAGCGCAACTCCATCAGCTTCCTGCCGCAGCAGTGGCTCACACTGCGAGCTCCGCCCAAACATGGCGCCCACAGGACATAACGTAAATCACCAAGAGCAGCTGTGTGTGTGTGTGTGTGTCTGTTACACAGAGCGCAGTGTGTGCATGTAACCTGCTCTGAGCCTCGCGCGTTGGTAACATGTGTACAGATATGATCAGAGAAAAGAAGCGCGGTCACGATAGCGGCGCGTTAAAAATCTTTGCGCGTTTACATTCGTATTTACGGCTCCGCGTGTGGACGCAAACGGGGAATTCATGGTGCGTTTAAGTACCGTTCATACGCATGTACGTATGTTTAGCAGCAAAGCTTCTCTTCCAACTGTATCTCTAGTAAATGGACAACACTCACAAATATTGATAATAATGCTAATAATCATAACCACTGTTTGTCCCACTCACAACTTTGGTTAACTGGAAATTGTCTCGTAGCAGGTTAAGGTAATGACATGTTAGCATAAAATCATTGAGCAGAAACCAAAGAATTATCAACAAGTACAGATACTGTCAGTAAACTTCAGCTTTCTAATAAATATATGATCCTTATTCCAGTAAAACATTTAAGCTGTGTGGCATCAGGAGATGGATTAACTTTGTTATAACTTTATTATTGTTTGTTATTAATTTGAAAACAGCATCTAATCTCTCCATAGATATCTGGGGTTTACGGGGTGCACTCAAATGCACCACAAAGTCGCCCTTTTTACCGTACTACGCGATATAGACTCGTTAGCTCCCAGCTCCGCGGTGACTGTTACGATATTACTTCAGGGAGCAGACATGACACCGTCTTAGGTTTTAGCCATCACTTTTTTATTATCCTCTACCACCCTCCGGTGGCTTCCACATGAACTGCACCTTAAACAACAACTGTTCACTCATATCATGACAGTGACAAAGGGCGGAAATCTTACCGAGAGCGAGGATCACAAACAGCGCACGCATCTTCATCTTCATCATGAATCCAGCTGATCGCCTTTAATCTCTCTGAAATAACCCCGCGGCCACATCGCGCTCCGTCTCTCCGCTGACGCACAACTAAAAGTAGTTCTTCTACTTACACCGGAAGCGAATCTGGGCCATCGGAGCGTCAAATGACACTTTCAAAATAAAAGAACGCAGTTTCAGTGGGAGAAACATCTCTGACCTCCCAGCCCGTTGTTCTTTCAGTGGGCTGCTTTCAGTCATTGTGCAAATGTCCTGTTTATAAGGCTGAAACATGCAGTCAGCTGAGACTGAAGACGTCACCTGATGAAACCAGCTCACTGAATGAACAATGGGCTGTGAGGTCAGTTCCTTGATCATTAATATTGTCATGATCATTGATCAGTGGCCCTGGATACCATCCACATACTTGGGGAATGCTTTTTTATGGACTGGAGCATGTTCTTAACAGATTCCGAACATCATCCTCATCATCTACAGTGCATTCAAAATGTAAAGCAAACTTAACTCACTCTAACAATAACCAGAACTCCCATTGAGAGAATATTGTGAAATCTGAATGTTTCCTTTAACTTGAGATCAGAAATGTTTGCGTCAGTTACATCACTTCTGTCATGGTCGTACAATCAGACCGTGTGGAGAGATTAATGTGGATCCAAGTGCAGATAGATGGCCCGCGTGAAGCTGACGCCCCGGCACTGTGTCGAGGCTTGATTGGTTTGGCCAGAGTCAGGTGATCAGTGACAGCCTTCATTTAGAACACAGTCAGGGATTCAGTGGGAAGTGAATCATTCCTGGGATCTGTGGAGTGTTTTGATGGTGACAGAGTCACTGATCATCCTGCTGAAGCCAGCGAGGCAGAGAGGAGCTTCTGTCATGCATTTTCAGTATTTTGAGCTGACTTTGTTCAGGTGGGCTTGCCAGCTTTGTTGTTCACTTTTGTTTTGTGTGTCTTTATTTATGTGAAAAACTTGTCTTTGTGTCTATATGTGAAGAAAATGTCTGAACAAAACAAAAATCAGCTTTTCACAATATAAATATCATTAAATAACTTTAGAAACACAATTTAATAAAATAAAAAATATGTTTTATTTTTTAAAATAAGCTTAAAATGTTATTCTACAAAATGTGCAGCAATTCAACGTGTTTATTCTTTTTTATCTGGCAGTCTGTGGAAGAGTTTCTGCGCTGCAGTGTCTTCTGCTCATGTGAGAGGATTTCCTGTGAGGCAGGAGAAATGATCTCCAAGAACAGAAACTCCGCCGTCGCACAGTCGAACAAGTTCTTTTCTTAAATAAAAATGAAAAGGTTACCTTAAAGGCGTCATGCTTTTACTTTACAAGTTTTAAAGTGTTTTCCTTTTCCGGTTCACGATCAGTTCGACATTTTGAATCCACTACCTTAAACGAGCTCCAATTTACAGACAGAAATGTCAAAAATGTTACAACTATTCCCGGTCTCCCCTACTCCATAATGTGTTGTACGTTATGTGTATATTATGTGTGTTTTTTATCTATTGTATTTACCAACATCAAGAAGTCACAAGCAAAGGAAGACCACAGCACGGTGCACGTTTCAACAGCAACGTTTATCAATCAGATTTATTAAACAAATAAACATAACGATTCGCACAACGGTGACGCGACATCAGGCAGGATTGTGACGGTCACAGTTGTAATATTGTGAATTATTGTTTGCAAGATGTTTTGTTCCACAATAGATTGTGTTGCTGCACGGACGTTTTAGAGTGTCACACAAGTAAGGATTGTTAGGCTGTATGTTGCTATTGTACATGGCAGAGGACCAATCTGAGTCGCATGACTTGTTAATAAAACTTCCTACCCCGTTGGGTAGTAAATAGATATTCTGGAGTCTGTCGTGAATGAGACCAGAATATAACAACAGTGAAGCAGTTTGTTTTCGTTTTCTATTGTTGGCCACCAGAGGTCACCAGAGAGGCCTGTGCTGAAACGCTTTGAGCAATGAACCGGTGTTAGGATCAAGCTTCAAAGCTTCAGAAAGCTTCATGTGGCCATCACTACAGCCAGCAGAGAGACAGGTGCAGGTTTAACACAAACGCCTTTATTTGGGCTGCACAACAACACTACGATAAACTAACAAAGACGTAAACTGGGACAGCTAAATGCAACGGTGTGAAGTACAAAGAAAGAAACAAATAATACAAAAAAATCTGAAACTAGGAACCGGCGGCACAAAAACACCTGGGATGACATGCAGGACGATAAACAGACAACCAGAGAAGGAAAAGAGGGAAACTGTTCAAGAACAGGAACACAGCAACATGGCTGCCATTAATCACATGTGACAAGGCGGGCAAGAGAGCAAAGCTGAGGGCGCTGACAGGAAACACCGACTGTCAAAGTAAAACAGGAAATACGAGACAGACGCAGACTTGACCCTGGAGCACGGAAACATGCGTGGAGGAGAAGTGAGGCGCGAGAGCACAGAAAGCAGGAACACCAAGTGTAGGACGACAAAACCATAATACAGAGAACGAAACTGCAGCCAAACACACAAAACACTGGTAACAAACCCAGGACAACCTCCACTAATGTTGTGTTACAAATAATGTCTTCTTATGTGCACATGGCCTTTCAGTCAGTCCATGAAAACAAAACCATGATGTCCAAAGCAAACAGCAGGAGAGTCTCCAAACAGGCCTTGAAATAAAATTGTGGAATGTGTGTGAATATACAGCTCTGTGTGAAATGTGTCTGTGACTACTTTGATCCAACTACATGATGAACATGTAGTTGCTGCTGTCTGCACCTCTGTCTGTGTCCTCGCTGGCAGAGTGGATAATAATGCCTTAAAGCTAAAACATCTACAACTGTCACAGTGGATTTTTAAACACACAAGATGAAATGTGTTCTTTCAGCAGACAAATCCACAGCATGCTAACATCTCACATAAAAGAACAAAGGCTCGTCACATACAAAACTGACTGTAATGTCATAGCTCATACAGGTGGTGTCTGAGGGGTCCAACACTTGGGTCATCTTTAGTGCTTCATGTGCTTTCGCTGGGTTTTGGGAAGGTGGGCAGACCCGTGTGGGAACACTGGTTTTCTAACGACAACACCAGAAACCAAACAAACCCCTGTGGGTGAAGGACACCTGTGTTCACATTTAGGACAGAGAAGATGGTTTGAAAGAGGAGCGAAAGAAGCCATCTATGTGCACTGTGAAAGGCCCCGCCCTCTGTTCAAAGAGGGCGGGGCCTTTCACAGTGCACAGTGCACAAAACTTTAGGATTAACAATAGGCGTGCCGTTTAATAGGGCTGATGAAAAGACATAAACAAAACGAATGCAAAACCAAGCATGAACCTAAACTGGGTTAAATTTTGACACACAAACAAACAACGTGGAGCAATCGCACACAGACGGTTTGTTACAGCGGGTGGGAAGGGCCAGCTTTACTTAGCCTCAGATTTTTACAGTTAGATGTAACAGATGTAACTTCCACTTTTGATTAAGATCTCTCCGTCTGCATATTTAGGCGTCTTTATTAAGCTCTTATTTATAAATGTCTACACTTCTTCTACTTCTGCTTCCATCGGTTTGCATTTTAAACTTCCAGCCTTTCAGGTTGTTACGAACAGTTATATTTCTAACATTTCGTGATGTAAGTGAACCGCGCTGCTTTTTTATTGTCTGTGTGATGGAATGAGTTAAGACACGAGTTATTAAAACAATTCTAAATGACAGTGTGACGGCCATAGCACTTTATGAGGGTCAAATATGTAAGGATGATGTTTCTCAATGTAAAACTGCAAAGAGCTTTTGGACACAACGTTTTATAAACAGTTACCTCAGAACCGGCCGAACCTGCTGATATTCAAGCTGAAGAAAATTAAAAGGCTTTTTTTGTTGTTGCTCCACAGATTAAAGAAAAATATGTTTAACAATTCAACAAGACCTTCAACACATGTACATTCAGATTTTGGAACTGTCACGGTTCGGCATGGCAAACCGTGGGAGGTGTGGGGAAGGAGGACCCAGGCGCGGTGCTCAGTGTACAAGCAGTGCGTTTATTTACAGTGTATGGTACAAAACAAGAATAAATCCCCGTGCTGTCCTGTCTCTCCGTGAATAGTCCGTGTCTCAGCACCCCTCGTGCTGGCTGCTGTCTGGCGCTCCACACTTCTCCTGGGGACACAATAGACGCAGCCGTCAGGACACATATAACCACACACTAACTAAGCTCAACTGGATGACTAACGTGGAGTCTCATGCAATGATCCCGCGTCGGTGGGAGCTCCAAGACTCTCCTAAGTAGCTCCCCCGACGAG